ATACACACATGCGTGCCGCGATGATCGACGTCTCGCACACGTACAGTGTAATTATTCGCCTGCGATAGGAACGTTAATATAGATTGCGTATTACTCGCGCTTGTAATACGAGCGCGTCTATACATTGTCTCTTTGTCGCGTGTATTTTTTTTTTTCATTACAATATCAAGTGTGTTTAATAATTCAACATCGCTGCATTAAACGCACACGCAGACGTCGGACGGTAATCGATCGTCTGTGCACGGCTACCAATAATCGTCGCTACGCGGATTTTTAACTTTTTTTTTTATCAATAATTTTCAAATAAGTAAGTGTATCGTAAAGGGCCCTCCCAAAACGCGATGACGCGTCTAATAGATAAACGATGGCTTCCACAGCCACGTCGAGATTCGACGACTGCACTACTACTATAGATGTGTCTAATAGGCACATAACTGACAGCGCGCAAACTCGAGCCTATAACGGTGAAAACGATGAAAACAGAGAGAGAGAGAGAGAGGCACGGAGTAAGAGGAACGAACGCTCGACTGAAGTAATCACACAACTTGCCTGAGCTGCTGTATCACAACAAAGCGGCGCGAGTGCGCGGGCGCAATAAGTTTTTTTTTATTTTGCTTTGTTTTTATCTGTCTTCCCGATTCGAATCGAAGGCGACGAATCGTGCGTAGATTTACTCTCAGCGCGCGCGTTTTGTAATACCTGCACACTTTATGGAGTGCACCTGCCCTGAGAGAGTACGTGTGCGTTTGTGTTAATGTGTACCTGCTTTTGCTCGTACACCCGTTCGAGCCGAGGGCTTGAAAAGGTACATACATACTCATACATACAGGTCCAATGGAAGATGCAGAACTGCAATGCCGGCTTTAGCGAGGCCAGATACACACACATATAATAATAATAATATATAAAAACAGGCAGTATCGTGCGGCAAGCGCAGGAAGTGCCCCCGAAGATGTGTGCTGCTGCGATGACGCGCTGTATGCTTCATCGGTCGCGAGTTACTTCTTTTTTTTTTCATTTTTATAAATACACTACTTCGTCGTCGTCGTCGTCGTCTCGTTTTCAACAAAAAAAGAACCGAAGAAGAGGAAAACAATGCGTTGGAGTTTAAACTCGCGATGCGTGACAAAGTCGGAGCAACAAGCACAGCAGTAATAGCAGCGAGTGGGAGAGGGAACGATTTTCGCGACGAATTCGATTATAACGTTATTATTATATTATATAGCAGCTGAGAGCTACGAACGGATTGATTCGATCGGAGAGTATATATTTATAAGGCGCAAGAAACGCGTCGACTCATCGAGAGTCTCTCTTGTAACAATAGCGTAATATGTATATCAGCGAGATATCAACATTACTTACCGCTCTCTCTTGTAAACACAGCTGACGTCTGCTTGTCACATATTCCGCGACTTCTCGTTTGTGTGTTTTTCTGCCGTCGCTGTTGCTGGTGATCCTAATCTTTCAACACTCGTTGCGAATCGACGAAAGGTCCCTCCTATTTTTCGTATTCGAAAAAGTTAGCAGCACAATATCAAACGATATAGCGGAGATCACGTCGACGTTTTTCTCTCGCTCTCTGCAGTATTTTCAATAACTGCAGCGATACAGAAGGTGTGCGTTTATGCGTTCGAGGCCGAGAGAGGTTCGATTTATATATGAAATACACACACACACACAACCTCTATGCTCGATAGATATTTCGAACGCGACCGTTACGGCCTCATCGTCGTCGTCGTCGTCGTCATCATCATCACTACACGATCGTGCGAGTATCGATCAACACTCGTCGGCGCAGCAGCACACAAACATCTTCTATCAAACGTAATACATATATTTTTTTTTTGTTGATCGAAGAACGTATTTTTTTCAAATCTATTACGTCTCGCAGATTTACAAACGTGCTTATTGGCTGCGTACACTCGATACAAACTGTTTAGCTTTTTGAAAGCACACACTACTCTACACTGATGCACGCAACTGTCTAACCGCCGTACGTTATTATCGCTTTAAGCTCTCCACTTTTTTGACAATAACCCCACACGATATACGCGAAAGATTTGTTTGTACACACGAACAGTTTAGCGCGTTAAATTAACCAACATCACTGATATATTCAATATATAGTTAACACAGACAGCACGAGAGTAGACCGTGAGAAAAGCAGTCGAGTTGAGATACAAATTTACACACGGAGCGAGAGCAACAGAAAACACGGTTATGTTGACGCGATCTCTCTCGCACGGTCATAAAGCCGCACCGAGCACACGACGCAGCAGCACTGCAATTTCGTACGGAGGCTATATACTGTAATATACGGTGTGCTCGCGCTGCGTGCCGATGTATCAACAACAAAAGGCAGTGCAGCTTTGGCTACTAGTAATAGTAGTAGTACTCGTAGTCGTCGTCGTCGCGAGGGCGCCGCGCTCGACCCTTTCCTCTCTCTTTCTCTCTAGTCTCTCGTCGATGCGCACGATTTATCGAATGCAACGCTACTGCCTACCTACACCACAGCAGCCTGCCCGATGTAGCGCGTGTATGTATAAGATAGTATGGAGCAGCACACATACTACCCTGACTGTATACACGTATATACAGCGCTCCGACTTCTCTTCTCTCCGTCTCCTTCTTTCTCTCGACTAGTGTGCAGAATATTGTTTATGTATGTGTGCGTGTGTGTGCACTGCAGCCGTTCACCGTCGCCGCTGCCACTACATAGTCATGTATACCTATATAGTACCGCAGCCGCCTGCCGCCGCCGCAGCGACTCCGTTCTTCGGACACACTATATATGTATACATCCGACGTCGGTGAGAAAGAGACAGAGAGAGAAAAAAGAGAGCCGCTATATTATATTCGCGTGCTTTTCGCTCGTCGTAAGTCGTACATTAGCGCACTCGGTACAGCAGGCGGCAACATACGCGCCACATATATATACCTATATAGGTGTACATACGATGATAGAGAGCCCCCCTTTCGTCGCTAGAGCGAGAGTAAAGTAGAGACTCGTTGGGAAGTTTTGCGCACTGCACGAGCGAGAGAGAGAGAGAGAGAGACGGCGATTGCGAACCCTGTGTGTGAGTGTGTGTGTATACGAAACGAAACGATGGCGCGCGATGGCGTCTGTATGGTCGGTTTCGCGGCACGCGCGATTCGCGAGGTCATGCTCGTGCGCGCCTATACATACGTATATATACACTACCTATCTACTACGAATGCACTATATATAATCACAGTGCGGTAGATGCGCGGTGCAGTCGCTCCGAGCCAAGTCGCCAGGTGTCGCTAGACTCCGGGATCTCGCCTCTCGGTTGATATACTTACACCACTAATTAAATGAGCGAAAGCTTTTTTGACTTTTTGTTATATTTTCAACAATATTATCTCGATTCGTATTGTATTGTCATTGTAGCGATGATAATGACGCGATACGACTTTGTGACGGGAAAACGTTCGGGCAGGCAGAAAAGAGGCGCGAGTCACGCGGTGGCGCGCGCGCGGTCATTGCCATCTTTTTTATTTTGACGATCTTGCGAAAAATTCGAGCCGTCGTGCGGTCGTTTGAAAAGCAAAGAATAGAAGATTTGGATGTCGATGTGACGTGAAAAATCAACGTATGATTTAATGATTTGCAGAAGTTTTCCAAGAAAACTGTTAATAATCTTTTAATATTATTGGCGATGGCGAATAAAAGTTGAATAAATCAATGATGCGATTTTTTTTATATCCGTTCACGCTGATGACAACCTTTTTCCAATAGGTTAAAAAAAATGTTTTTAGTTAATTATTTTACATGGTTTTAAGACTAACAATTACAAACATTGTCTTTGTCATTTTAATTTATGAAAATAAATAGAAAATAACGTTTCTTATAGAAACAGAGAAAAAATGAAAAGCCTTAGAGGCTGTGCAATAAACATGTTCTCTGAAGCTTCGTAAGTGAGTACACTATTTCTCATAAAACCTCCAGCAAAGACTTGAATTTAGCATGATACGTCAATTTTTTCTTAATTTTTCTTAATTTTTCGGAGAATCTAGTATTTTTTGTTTTTTCGCAGCGGTAAAGTTTTTTGGAAAATGTACAGATAAAAATAAGATTAAATATATTCTCAGAGGTCTTTGCCATTGCATTTTTAAATATAGATGATAATCATAAATTTCAAAAAATTGGCAACTTTGTAATACTGAAAAACGGAATGGAAAGTTTCGGAAATTCTTATAAAATTTTGCGAAAATGTGAGACTGAAAAGGAACTTATCGGGACAGAAGGAGACGATTAAATTTCACAGAGAATCGGTTGCATGCACATAATGTATTTTTATGCTGCCCAATCGGCAATAGCATTTAATAACAATAGTACTTATTATGCTGCCCGGGAATATAAACATCCACGTCGATTGGTGAGGTTGAACGATCATAGCGAAATGATGTCTTTCAGTCATACTTGAACACTTAGCGCACATTAGGCGCTTGAGAATTAATTTGTTTAGATTACAGTTAAAGTTGAACTAATAAGTGAATCTTCTAAGATTAGTTTCCAAAATCATGACAAAATTAATGTCAATTTGAAATACTTTATTGTTTATACACTAAATTAAAAGATTTTTATAAGAAAAATTATCTAAAACTATATAGCGTATTAAAGTGATTACAGAAGTCTTCTAATGCTTTGGAACAAATGTTACATTCGATGGTTTGCTCCGATTGTGTACTAAATTTTCGTGCCCTTTGAGATTTCACTTGCATGAAAACGGTTTACGACAAATTTCACGCTCCTATGCTTCGATTATCTACTGTATTTTTGTGCCTTTCAAGAGAAATTTTTTATCCAAAAAATTTTTGACATTACGCACACCCTTAGAGTTTGCTGCAATCATGTACTGTCATTATATTGTGAACTTCGAGATGCTCTTTGCGGTGACAAATATCACTATGACTGTTGACAAATATTACATTCAAAAGGTTTGCATTGAGCATGAACTTCATTCATGTGTACCTCTTCAGATCACACTTACATCCAAATGATTTATGGCAAATTTCACATTCAAAAGGTTTGTTACCATTGTGTACTACGTTTATGTGAGATTTGAGGTCACATTTTTGTCCAAATCATTTGTGGCAAATTCGACATTCGAAAGGTTTGCTATACTCATGTACTGAATTTATGTGATTTTTGAGTACATTCTTGTATCCGAATGATTTGTGACAAATTTCACATTCATAGCGTTTGATACGATAATGTACTTCATTAATGTGTCTCTTGAGATCACCCTTGTATCCAAATGGTTTGTAACAAATATTACATTCGAAGGGTTTTTCGCCTTTATGTACTGCATTTGTATGAAGATTGAGGGTACTTTTTTGTCCAAATGATTTGTTACAAATGTCACACTCGAAGGTTTTTTGTCGATCGTGTACTGTAATTATGTGCCTTTGAAGTACATGCTTATATCCAAATGATTTGTGACAATTCTCACACTCGAAGAGTTGGATGCGCTTATGTACTGTATTCACGTGACATTTGAGATGACTCTTGTATACAAATGATTTGTGACAAATTTCACATTCAAATCGTTTAATTCCTTGTTGCGTTCGTTTGTTCGTTAATTTTTCATGCATAGTTTTTTTAAATATTCTAACCTCCTCATGTTCGTCAAACTTCAATCGGGAATTAACTTGAAACTGACAATTATTATCATAGTCAAACTGTTTTTTTATAAAAACTATCAGATCTCTATCATTCAACTTTTTTTTGTTTTCCATTTGGTTTTCCATTTTTACAATAGGTATACAACTTTGATACTCAGTTTTGCAGACTGCGGTTGATTGAGACATCAGTTCAGGTTTAACATTTTTGCACTCGAAATCTACGAATATTTTTTCACCTTTTCTTTTCTGTGTCGTCATAACCTTATTCATATGATTTGCCTAAAATTAAATAGTTTTCGATAGTGAAGCGCGAAAAGTGAAAAACCTAAGGTAAACATGATTCAATTTATTGAACTCACCGATGTTTTATAAGATGGAAATACATCAACGTTTTCAATTTTGCAAGAGTATGCTGAATTGGAAACAAAATCGTCGCCTTCATCTGGCCAAGTATCGTTCGTCTCTTGTTTCACACTAAAGAATAGTAAAGTTTAATGATTGATCAATTATTTATAAATATCGTGCCTTGATAAAAAGTAATACCTCACGATGCCCTCTTTACTCTCCATCGTTCTTTGGATCATAAGAATTTTCACTGTAAGTTTTAACGATGTGCACTGAGAAAGTTTTCGAGGTTAAACGCTTCGAGTAGCCAATATTGTACCTCAATTTTATCCATGGACCGACATACACTTTTAAAAATAGGTAAATATATGCTCACAAAAAGAAATTCAGTTCTTCACCGGTGGATACTTCCTCCCTCTACCGTCACCCAGGAGTAATGTACTGCGATACACAATTACTCTCGCATGTTATTAAAAAGGCACTGAAATTGTAATGAAAATGTCATTCATCCAGGCGCACAATTGGCTCTCACATACGCATGAAACAACATTCATACAGAAAAGAATTGTGTCTCTAAAACACACCGTTACAGAAAATAATAGTATTTATAGATACATGATATTAGGAATGAAGTTTAATTAGTTTTTGGAACATCACGTGGCTCCATAGTTAGTAAAGTATCTGCCGCTGTTGCATCGATAATTTAACAAAACATATGATTTTTATAAATAATATTTGTAAAGAATCAAAATCGATAAACGATTTAACTTTTATCAATGAAAGCAACCTTTTTTCGTTGAATTTCTTCGCAGGTACTTGTAAATAAATGATCATTTAAAAAATTCCTTGCTCAGTCCTAAGTGAGTTCTAGAGAAAATAAGAGAAAATGACTGAGTAAACGAAAGAGGACAGACACTACTTGCCAGTTAGAATCGAGTGCGAGTATGAGGCCACCTGCACAATTAAAATAAAATTGTGGAAAGTACTAAAAAAATGATATTTTCCACGTTAATTTTTTCAATGAAAAAATTATTGCTTCTACCGATCACATCTCTCTTAGCAGAAATAGTTAGCGTTTGTCCGTAAATTTATGAAAATCTTCTAATAGGTCGTCGTGTTTGACCAATTTAGAGATTTACAACAAGGTTTAATGATAGTTGATAGCTCGAAATTCAGATGAGACAATCACATTTGTACAATTTTTATTCAAATTTTTGAATAAAAAACATCTACAACATATACAAGTATCTACACATTTTTACTATTATAAAAAAAATCAGTGCTTTTCATTATTTCACTTATGAGATATACGCTATTTTCTGAAGAAATATTCCAAGCATATGACTGCAATGAGTTCGAGAAATTTGTATAAGCAACATATTATTCATAAAAACTAGAAGTATCTTTAATTACGAGAATAAAGCGTATTTATTACATCAGTATTTTTTTTATAGATTGTTTTTCGGTGCCTACTCAAATTCGATGTTGGTACACCAAATGTTAATGATCTTGGTGAACCGTCATTTCGTGCCTCAACAAACATAATTTACTTCCAAATTTCTTTTCGCACTTGTCGCATATGTAATCTGTGCAACTTTGGTGTACTTTTTTTTGGTGGAGAAGCAAAGTCTGTTTTTGTGCAAATTTTTTTTCGCATTTGTCACAAGCGTAGTCTTTGCGACCATCGTGTACTGTCTTTTGGTGGATTAACAAATGCGATTTGTATCCAAATTTCTTCTCACATTTGTCACATGTGAAATCTGTACCACCTTCATGGATCTTTTTTTGGTGCGAAAGCCTATCGAATTTTCGCGAAAATTTTTTCTCACATTTTTCGCATGCGTAATCTCTGCGACCGTCGTGTACTGTCCTTATGTGAATAAGCAAATTGTATTTTTGACCAAATTTTTTCACGCACTTATCGCATGCGTAGTCTTTGCGACCTTGATGGATTGCCCTTTGGTGCCTTAACAAATCTGGTTTACTTCCAAATTTCTTCTCACATTTCACGCATGCGAAATCTTTGCGTCTTTCGTGGACTGTTCTTGTGTGCAAAAGTAAATAACTTTTATGTCCAAATTTTTTTTTGCATTTGTCACATGCGTAATCTTTGCGACCTTCGTGTACCGTCTTTAGGTGGGTGAGCAAATTCGGTTTTTGTGTAAATTTTTTTTCACATTTTTCACATGCGTAATCTTTACGACCATCGTGTATTGTCTTTTGATGTTGTTTCAAATTGCCTTCACTCACAAATTTCTTATCACATTTATCACATACGTAATCTTTGCGACCTTCATGGAATGTCTTTTGGTGTCTGATCAAATCCGTTTTTTGTCCAAATTTCTGCTCACAATTGTCGCATGCATAATTTTTGCAACCTTCATGGACTAACCTTTGGTGTCTCAACAAATATGACTTACGTACAAATTTCTTCTGGCAATTATCGCATGCGAAATCTTTGTAACTTTTGTGGACCACCTTTTGGTGTAAAAGCAAACTCGATTTCATTTCAAATTTCTCCCCGCATTTGTCGCATACATAATATTTGCGATTTTCGTGGACCGTCTTTTGATGTCTGATTAATTTCGATTTTTCTCCAAATTTTTTCTCGCATTGGTCACAGGCGTAATCCTTGAGATTTTCATGGACCGTCCTTTGGTGGGAAAGCAAATGCGATTTGTATCCAAATTTCCTGTCACACTTGTCACATACGAAATCCTTGCGACTTTCGTGTACTATCTTATGGTGGGAGAGCAAATTCACTCTTTGTGTAAATTTCTTCTCACACTTATCACAAGCAAAATCTTTACGACCTTCATGGACTGATCTTTGGTGTCTGATCAAATCCGATTTTTGTCCAAATTTTTTCTTGCATATGTCACATGAGTAATCTTTACAATCATCATGGACTGTATTTCGGTGCTTGATCAAATCAGATTTTATTCCTAATTTCGTCTTGCGTTCATAACTGATGAAATTGTTACGACCCTCATGAATTGTCTTCACATGTATGAGCAAACTTCGTTTATTTCTGAATCTCTTCGCACACTTTTCACATAAGTAATCTTTGAAAACTTCGTGGAAAATTTTTTTGTGCTTCAGTAAAGTTGATTTATTTTCAAATTTTCTCTCGCACTTTTTGCACGTGAAATCTTCACGATCTTTGTGTACTAATTTTTGGTGCGTAGACAAATTCGATTGTTTCATAAATTTTTTTTCGCACCTGTCGCATGCAAAATCATTGCGGCTTTTGTGTACTGATATTTGGTGTCTACTCAAATGACTTCGGAACTCAAATTTCTTTTCGCACTTGTCACATGAGTAATTTTTTTGCTCATTGTGTATTCTGTCTCGGTGTGTTATCAAGCTTGATTCTAGTGTAAATGCCTCCTGGCAAATATCACGAACGTATTTCTTATCGTCTGAAACAATAACGTCGTGTTCTCTTAAATTATTATCTTCGAATCTCTTCTCACTTTCATCCATTTTGATGCCCAAATTGAACGTTGGATTCTTCTATTTTGGAAATTGAACGAGTAAAATTTATCTTTTAGTGTTATGACTTGTTTCATCAAGAAATACAATATTCGAACTAATTTTATTTTAGTATAAACATAATCAATACTTGAGGAATGATGTCAAAATCGTTTATGATCATATCGTTTACAATTAAATTACCATTTTATCTGTTTATGCATAGTCATAACAATATTTGAATTAATTTAAAATTCTAACTCAGTGACGATTTCTTCAAGAAATTTTTTTGATATTTTACCTTTTTTTCTGCCGTCCCACGCTCCATAATCCACCACCGGCTTCGTTAAATGTTATAGGCTACAAATGACTTAATGGTATGGCCACAGATTGACTGCAGGGAATAGTATTTTTTGAATTTCCTCAAAAGCTCGCCTATCTACGGATTAGTAATATGGTTACCATAACAAAAAGAATCAGCTGAGCGAAAAACACTGCACAGTATTGGAATGCAATAACGATAGTGAGAAAGTTTATTAAATTTACCTAACTTGATTGAACATAAAAATCAAATTTTCGAACTGAAAATTTAGTAAAGCTCCGAAAACCACTTTGCCATTTCGATGCTGGACAGAATCCGTTTTGAGAGAACTTATTTCAGATCAGTTATGTTTTATATTGATGTTTCAATCTTGAACTTCGTGAAATTTTTAATTGATATTAGGTTATAAAAGACACCGATTTTTAATTATTATATTACTGACTAATTTTTTTTTAAACAAAAGCGAACGGGTTATGTAAGAAAAATCGAAGGTAATTGAGTTTCTGATTATTTGCCAGATAGATAGCTAATGTATACTGAAGGGGAAGCGAGCTTGAAATTATCGATACAAAGCAAAGCGGTAATTATGAAAAAAAGTAAAAGAAAAGAAAAAGAATCGGCGGAAGTCCGGAATACACGCCACGCGACAGATGTGCACCCAAAGAAATTATATCTTATATTTTTTCATGTATGAGCAATGTATAAAGCCGAGCACGCATGTATATCAAGGTGTACGGCTCGATTGAAGCTGGAGGAAAAAGAGGAACAATGAGCATCCGTTTTTGTCTGGCGTTTAAGAAACTGCCCGCATATAAATCGGATTCTCGGCATTGCCCGGCTCGGGATATGTTCTTCGTGATTTTACGCCTCTTTATGTACATGGGATATTTCACGGCATTTTGATTTCACTTGGATCTACACAGGTTCAATGTTAAATTTTTATTGTAGGTATACATTTTATTCTCCTTTCATGGGATGACATGACAAGGTATTTCATGTACTCGCTCGAAGTACTGAAATTGCATTAAATATCAAGAGGTGCGGTAGCGCCTAGCCGGCAAAGTATAAAAAAAAATTATTAAAAAATTTTTTTCAAAAAAATCTAGCCCATCAGGTAGCAAAATTTTACGATATGAAAGTCAACAGTACCAAAATTAAAAGTAGTTGACATTCTTCGACGTGGCGTTATTTCTCCACGTAATTCTGACAACAAAAATTAAAATAATGAATAAATGAAAACGAAAATAAAAAATGAATTACTTTTTTTTCAGCAATTGATATGATAACGAATTCTGAAATAAACATGACATTTTACAGAAGAACGAACATCTTCATAATTTTTCAAGATTTGAAATTTATACCCATAATTAAAATTTGAGGCATTAAAGGATTAATAGTCCCTAGCGCCTAAGACGTTAGTTGATTTTTTCACGTTTTTATACTCTCGAAATTTCGTGGATAGTAAACCGAAAAATACTTTTTTGTGCTATTGTTTCTTCGCACATATCGCCCGTTCGTGTAAGCTAATTGTGTACCTAAGGGAATGATATTTTCATTACGATCTCGGTATAATGTTAAATACATGTCAGTGGCAAAAAATCGTTGTACAAAACTGTCTACGCTCAGTCGCTATTAATCATTTCCTGCTGTAAGAAGTGTTTACAAATAATATCCGTACACGTTTGTTGGTGAAAATAAGATACGGTGTTGGCTACTCGAGGCATCTAATTTTGAATAATTTCAAGATAAATTATAGTAACGAAGCGATGGAAAGTAGACAGGATTTAGTTAGGTATACACTTTTTCATGCTTGCCAAAGATATATTTTTAAACGATCGTTTCTTTAGTATTAAAGAGGAGCCTTGTGACAATTGGGAAGATGTTGCCAACGAGAGTGTCGATCTGGGGGTCTCGGTCAAAACCGAATACTCTGATGAATCATCGGTAAGATCTATCTTTTGAAATTATGATCAGATTTGCTCCACAAAAGAACTATAACACAATTTTACTTTTAGGCAAATCCAACCAGTGACTGTATTTCGTCGCAGCAGAAGAAAGATGAGGATATTCTGATAGAATGCGAGAGCGTATTGGTAAAACATGAACCTAAGCCCTCATTGACGACCATTTACCAAGCTAAGAATATAAAGGAAGAAAATCCAGCAAATGACTTGAACAGTAAAAGGCTTACAATTTTAAATAAAAAAGGATCCGATTGCGATAATAACAGTCCATTTACGATTGGAGAAGAATCGAGTTTAACAAGACAAATAGAAACGACGAATAAGGACGATGGATCACATGAATTAGAAATTTGCAAAGCCGAAAACTCTGATGAATTATCGGCGAATGAATCATTGGTAAGATCTATTTTTTGAAATTATGTTCTTATTTGCTCCATAAAAAAACTATAACACAATTTTAATTTCAGGCAAATCCCACCAATGACTGTATTTCGTCGCAGCAGAAGAAAGATGAGGATATTTTGATAGATTGTGAGAGCGTATTGGTAAAACTTGAACCTGAGCCCTCATTGACGACCATCTACCAAGCTACGGATGTAAAGGAAGAAAATCCAGCAAAAGACTTTAATAGAAAGAAGCTTATAATTTTAATTAAAAAAGGATTCAATTACGATAGTAATCGTAAATTTACCAGAGAAGAAGCGACTTCAACGAGACAAATGGAAACGACACACAAGGGCAGTAGACCACTTGAATGTGAAATTTGTCACAAATCGTTTAGATACCCATATATGCTTGAAGGGCACGTGAATCAAGTACATGAAAAAAACAAACCCTTCCAGTGTGACATTTGTCACAAATCATTTGGACGAAGAGATTCCTTCCAAACTCACATAAATATAGTACATAATCACAGCAAACCCTTCGAGTGTTATATTTGTCACAAAGCATTTGGAAAAAAAGCAAACCTCATTGTACACATCGATGGAGTACATAATCGAAGTAAACCCTTAAAATGTGAGATTTGTCACAAGTCATTTGGTTTAAAACAGAACCTCGAAACTCACATAAAGATAGTACACAATCAGAGCAAACCCTTCGAGTGTGATATTTGTCACAAAGCATTTGGACGAAAAGGTGACCACGCTGCTCACATGAGTGCAGTACATTTGCGGAGTAAACCCTTTGAGTGTGAGATTTGTCATAAATCATTTGCAAGAAAAGATACTCTCAAAACTCACATAATGACAGTACACAATCGGAGTCAACTCTTCGAGTGTGAGAATTTTCACAAATCATTTGGAGGAAAAGTAAACCTCATTAAACACATCGATGGAGTACATAATCGAAGTGAACCCTTTAAATGTGAGATTTGTCACAAGTCATTTGGTTTAAAACAGAACCTCGAAACTCACATAAAGATAGTACATAATCAGAGCAAACCCTTTGAGTGTGATACTTGTCATAAATCATTTAGGTACAAAATCCGCTTTGAAGCGCATATGAGTGCAGTACATATGAGTAGCAAACCTTTTGAGTGTGATATTTGTCACGAATCATTTGGATACCAGAGTGTACTCAAATATCACGTAAATTTAACTCATAAACGGAGAAAATTTGAATGTAAGACTTGTCACAAGTCATTTAGCGTCAAGAAGCGTCTCGAAAATCACATTAATGCAGTACATATGGAAAGCAAATCTTAGAAATATGGAATTTATTTTAAATATACGCTATGTAATTTTAGACAACCATTGTCATGAACAATAAAGCTTTTTAAACTTTTTTTCATTTCGAAGTGCCAGTGCTGAAAGATGCCACTTCACTGAGCAGACAAAAAAAATGCCATGTCGCGCTCCGGGCAAAAAGATGCCATTTCAGCGCTCGATTCTGAAGGATGGTTTTTTCTGCGTTTGAAGTTACACCATATTCATGTTTCATGTTTTAGAAATAAAATTGGATGCTATTCTAGAATCTGTCGCTGGAATGAGAATAATAGTTAAAGTTGAAGCTTCAAACGGAGAAATACCGAATGCCGAAGCGGCATCTTTCAGCCCTGGCACGTCGATTTGGTTGTCACTGTAAAAATCTTTTATTATTCCTTCAAATACGAATTATAATATCAATACGGTTTCGCGTGAATACTTTACACGAATACACCAACTTGTTGGAGTGAAATAAAAAAAACGTCAATGGACTCTCCAATTTGTAAATAGATTTATTTCAAGCTAAACACTTAAAATTGACGCTACACGTTATAATTACGACTAGTTTTACATTTAGTTAAAGTTTGATTCCTTAATAATTAATATTGACTTCGAAGTAATTCTCCCCATTCTTGCGAACCAAGTGTGCGACGAAACGACGTGATCGTCAAACGATCTCGCTGTCTAACGTCGAAAATCACGCCTCATTTCATATATTGCTTCCGAGTAAATAGTCGAGAGGATGATTTGGCAAGTGTACGTTTCGCACATACACAACGCACAATTGGCGTCTTTCTCATTATTGGCACTTTTTATATCAAATACACATCATACTTAATAATTTATCAATATTTTATAGTGTATAATGGTTGGCTTGTTGCGCTCAAACACCTAAGCGTCTATAATAATGACTCAACATTAAGTATGTAGTTGATTTTTTCTTCATTTGAAGTACAAAAAATTCAGAAAAGTGTGTATCGACGTTTTAAGATAAAATACTATAAATATATATTTATAAATCCATTTAAAGTTTCATCACTTATTCCGATTATTCAATTATGTCATTACAGCGTACATTTTCTCTGTGTATATCACATACTAATATTGACTATTCGTACTTGACGGAGTTTTGGTAAGTATTTTTTTTTTCAACCATCGACTGGTTAGCTATAAATCTTTCTTAATTTGCTGCCTTGATGATAGTTAAAAAGTTTTTTCAGGCGAAGCTGTGTATCAACTTTGATAGTTATTAAATATATGCTTAGCCTATAGTTCAGTCTTAAAAACTCAAAAAGTATAAAAAAAATTATTTTAAATCTATAATCTTCTATAAGGCAAATCAATGAATTCTTGAATATAAAAACAGAGTTATGAAGAGTCGTATAATTATGCAAAATTATATTATGGACTTTGGTAATTCCGACAGTTAAATTATTATTTTAATAGATGGTATTGAGAATTAATTTTTCTTTTCTTATTCTAGTAATTACTTTCAGATTACTTTTACTTTCATTGTAGTTTTAATAGTGTATATAGTAATAGGCTTCAGTACTTTCTTTCGTTTCACCGTCATCCTAATCGGATGCTCACAGACTTTCGAGCTTATTATTTAAATATTCTTACTCTGCACGCTATATATATTTCAATTTTTTATCAGCTATAAATAAAAGGATTAATGTAAGTAGCGTAGTTATTCAGCGTTCTTGCTTCCACTGGACGTTGTATCATTTTAGTTTATTACTTGAAACGCTACATATCCTTAAAAGATAAATTTGTCTTACTTTCGTTGTTATGTAAAATAAATATTACTACTTTTTGAAGTTTTTCGTCATAATAACTGATATCAGACTAAATTTTTGGCTCGTATTGATAATACATCAAACTTCATTGATTCGTATCGTTGAATTCGAAAAATATCAAATTCATTATGGCTCACTCGTTCACTAACGTTTATACTTATACAATTATCATATGCTTTAAAAAGACAAAATTGGCTTGGATTAACGGACTCTCGTTGACTAGTATGCTATACTCGAGACAAAACCTCGTATGGATAAGAAACAATTTTTTTAAACGGTCTCGGTGGACGACTTTCCACTCGGGCTCGGATCCTGCTGTTGCTGTCCTTGTGGCTGCTGCTGGGCCGACGACGCGTTGGTCGGCATGAGTCCCTGGAGCTCCTGGACGCCCTGGAACAGTCGACCGGTGAAGCCCGAGAGCAGATCGCAGGAGACGGGCGTCGGCGGCAGGGCCGCGCCGTGGGCGTGCGGCGATTGCAGCACCGCGATGACGCGCCTCAGCTCCTCGAGTGCGTTTCCTGCGGAGAGAACAGACGAACGGAGGTGTTCATTGTTTCGAGGCGCACCGTATATTGTATACATGCAAACGCACACACAAACACGTAATAATGTATAATGCAATGCTGTACGCTGTAAGTTATGTATATTATCGGCGTTAGCGCGCGAGAGTGATGTATTACCCAGTGTTGAATTATTGCCACTTATGGCCTATGCTTAGATAAGAGAAAAATAACTATGTGGATAATCAGAAGGAGGAAATTTATACATTTTTTCGGTCTTGGCATTGATGTCAGCAATTACAAATAGTTTGTAAGTATGAAATGATTTGACGAAATGACAATTATCTTAACTCTGTTCCCAAATTAAATTCCTTTTTTTTTTTTTTTTTGGGAAAAATAGGAAAAATGATATCGATTCATTGTAATCGCGAAATATTTTGTACCAATTGAACCCCCTCCCCCCTCTCTTCCTTCTCCCTTAAGTATTAATGCTCAACATTTTATGTGTAGTGTTCGGCCAATGAAAATTTTCTCGGTTATCAGTGAGTTATTTTAAAACTGGACAAATAACCAAAATTTTTAACCCTTTTTTAATATTTCATGGCCACATTTGGTTCTGCACATTTTTAATGACCTTTTTTAAACTATATGAAGTTCACGAATACCACCATTTCAACACACTTTTAAGATATTTTCCATTTTACACATTTGAAATTTGAATTTTTCTGTCAAATGATAATTTATATATCATATCAAAGATTCTGTGTCTTATATAATTATTTCGACTTTGCCACTTGCAGATATACAGATTTAAAGGTAATCGCCATCTAGTGTTGCAATATGGTATCGTCTTATTTAAAGAGGTTGAAGACTGATTGAAAATTTTTTGATACAGTCCAATTGTCATTGTCAAAGATCATATTTCAATATTTGTAACATATTTGCAGGAAAAAAAAATCGCGAAAAACAAGCCAATTAATGATACATGCGTTTTTACCACAGCCTTCGTAATGAAGGATTTGCCCGTCATTCGTAACAACATAGTACAGCATGCAGAAAGTAAGAGAGATAATAGCTCGGATGCGTTCAATCGATGTCTCACCTTGCATGAGAATGTAGTTCTTGGCCAGGAGCAGAGTGGCGATTTTGGAGAGCTTCCGCACCGAGGGACTGTGCGCGTAGGGTATGACCGAGCGCAGCTCGTCCAGGGCGTCGTTGAGATCGTGCATGCGGCGGCGCTCGCGCGCGTTGATGTTCAGCCGCACGTTCTTGCCCTGTCTGGTCGTCTTCATCTTGGACGACGGGCAATTGAGTCTTGAGCTGCCCGATCTGAAAGCAAACATAACGATTGCCATTATCATCGCAAGAGGATATTTCATATAGTTTTTGCAAGGATATGTAGAGTACCTCTCGTGCTCCGGCCTATTCTCATCCGTGGGCACGTTGTTGCCCGACGACGAGGCGTGAGGCTGCTGTTGCTGCTGTTGCTGCTGCTGCTGCTGATGGGCCGCGGGCTGCTGCTGGAAGTAAAATCCGCCCAGTCCGACGGCGCCCAGGGGTGTTCGACGTCCGGGCACGCCCACCACCGGACTCTCGGACGAGTAGACGACGTTGGCGCCCGGCCCGGAAGCCGTCGCGGAGGCACCGGCTCCGGCCGATGCCGGTGGAGGAGGATGATGCGAGGGATGATGCGGAGGTCCGGTCAGGACTTGGTGAGGCGCCGAGCCACCGGCACCGGCGCTGTAGGCCGCCACCATGGGATGATCCAGTCCGCCGCTCGGATTCGAGTGAGCTGCCAGAGGATGCTGTATGGGAGAAAGGAGAAAGGAGAAACAATTGGTTTAACGCGTCGTTACGATTGTGAAAATCTGTAATGGTATTCAAATTTGGTCGAGGGATTTTCTATTATGACCAGCATTGAACGTCTTTAACTACGATAATACTACTTAAAACCTCCACCGGTAGATGGCGAGTACCTTTATATGTAAATCTGCAAGTGTTATATTCAAGTAAAATTATAAAAAGCTAATAAGGTACTCTTCGAATTGATTTTTTCAAATTATTCGAAGCTGCAGAACACATCTATGATACTGGGTGCGTCCACAGTAGCCATGTTAGCCGGGATATCCTGGCACAGCTAGAGCTACGATACAAATAAAACCAAGTAATACGGTTATTGCAAACTGCTTATTTAAATTACTTTTTTTAATTTTACCCGGCTCGAAAATGTGCATAGTGCCCGGTGTTCTCCTACTCGCACTCATTTACTATATTGTTTTATAGAACGCATTCCAGTTTAGTGATAACCTGGGCTTTTAACTGATTCGCACCTCGGGTACGAACCGATTAAAATAGGTTTTAATCCTGAGCCTTGGTGTAAAACCAGGTTTTTAACTAGATTTAATCTTACATTTAATCTATTTTTACCACCATCGGATACTCACCAGCTTTGTAACCGGGTTTTAAACAGTTTTATATGATTTTTTACATCTGAGTATCGGCCAACATTCTATCGGGTTAAAGCTCGATTATTCACTGGTTTCTAACCAAGATTTTTACCTGGATTAAATTCGGGTTTTGAGCTGGATTGAACTCAGATTTTTACCAGGATTAATCCTGGATTTTTAACCCGGATTAACCCTGGATTTATAACCCGGATTTTTAATCCTGGATTGATAACCCGGATTTTTAATCCTGGATTTTTAACCCAGATTATACATCCGATTAATCCTGGATTTTTAATCCTGGATTTTTAATCCTGGATTTATAACCCGGATTATACATCCGATTAATCCTGGATTTTTAACTCGGATTTTTAACCCGGATTTCCAAACCGGATTATGACCCGGATTTTCAACCTGGATTGTCAACCCGGATTTTTAACCTGGATTTTCAACCTGGATTGTCAACCCGGATTTTCAACCCGGATTTTTAACCCGGATTTTCAACCTGGATTGTTAACCCGGATTGTTAACCCGGATTTTTAACCTGGATTTTCAACCTGGATTGTTAGCCCGGATTTTTAACCCGGATTTTCAACCTGGATTGTTAACCCGGATTTTTAACCCGGATTTTCCACCTGGATTGTTAGCCTGGATTTTTGACCCGGATTTTCAACCTGGATTGTTAACCCGGATTTTTAACCTGGATTTTCAACCTGGATTTTTAACCCGGATTTTTAACCCGGATTTTCAACCTGGATTGTTAACCCGGATTTTCAACCTGGATTGTTAACCCGGATTTTTAACCCGGATT